GAGAATGATCATCACCAACAAACGCCAGCAAACCCTTGAGCCACTTCAACTCACAAACTGTGGAAGCCATGGCCCTATACTCAGTTTCAGCAGAAGAACAGGCAACCGTTTGCTGCTTTTTAGTCTTCCAAGAAATAGGAGAGTTACCCAACTGAACAAACCAGCCAATAAGAGAATGTCGTGTAAGAGGACAACTAGCCAAGTCAGAGTCACATTATCCTGTAAGACGAAGATCACTATCTGCACGAAGTAAAATACCCTGTCCAGGACTACCCTTCAAATAACGAACCACACGCAAGGCAGTATCCCAATGAGCTTGCAATCGGTTCTGCATGAGCTGAGCAAGCATATGAATAAATCAGACGACCAACTAATTTCCAGTAATGTTCAGGATTGGCAAGAGGAGTCTCAGTAGCTAGCGGAAGATGGTGATTTTGCTCAAGTGGAAAACCAGCAGGCTTAGCCCCTAACAAACCAATCTCAGAAATAATATCCAAAGCGTATTTCCGTTGGCTTAGAAATATGTCAGACGGATTACGAGCAACCTCAATCCCAAGTAAATATTTCAAGACTCCAAGATCCTTCATATAAAAACATTGACTGAAGTAGGTCTTAAAAGACTGAATTGCCAGAGAATCATTACGAGAGATAATCAGATCATCAACATAAACTAGAACAATGAGTTGCACAGGACCGCGATGCAGCACAAAAAGAGAATAATCAGAACAAGATTGCTGAAAGCCATACCGACGCAAGACAATGGCTAATTTGGCAAACCAGCAGCGAGGAGCTTGGCACAAATCATACAGAGAGCGACAAAGGCGACAAACTTTCCCTGGAGATGAAGAGGAAAAACCAGGTGGTAGTCGCATATAGACCTCCTCATCAAGGTCTCCATGAAGAAAGGCATTGTGAACGTCCATCTGATGAATTTTCTAGCCTTTCATGGTAGCGACAGAAAGTAAAGTGCGAATAGTAACCATCTTTGCAACCAGTGCGAAGGTCTCATTATACTCAAAGCCCTCAATCTGGTTGTCCCCAAGATAACAAGGTGAGCCTTGTACAGCTCCACCGAACCATCCGAGCGATGCTTAATTTTGAAGACCTATTTGCACCCAATAGCACATTTCCCAGGGGGGAAGGGTTTCAATAGTCCAGGTGCCATTAGTTTCTAGTGCCTGAATTTCTTGTCGCATAGCAGTACGCCAGCGGTCATCTTTAACTGCCTCCGCAAACGTACGAGGTTCAACACCTGTAGTAATGCTAGCCAAGAAAGCTCAATGTTGCGGAGAAAAAGAATCACATGTCAAATAATGATGAAGAAGATAGGACGCACCAGAGGAAACTACTAAAGAGGATGAAGCAGGAGAGGGGCTGGAGAGAAAAACAGAGTTAGAGTAAAAATCACTTAAGCGAGTAGAACGAAACTTTTTGCGATGCCCACAGTCCAGAAGTTCCTCATGTTGTTCAGACGAAAGCGGAACCCCAGTCTACGGAAGTAGGACTAGAAATTGGTGGTGCAGGAACAGGCGAGACAGGAATATCAGAAGTAGAAGAAGACACAGGAACCGAAGGAGAAGGAACATAAATCAATTCGAGATCGTCGTCATCGTAAAAAGAAGGGGGATCGAGGACGGAAGTTGTCTTAATCGAAGGAGAATGTAAAGGAAAAGGGAATTCAGACTCCGAAAAAAATAACATCCCGAGAGACAAAAATTTTACCCGATTCTAAATCATAAACATGCCAACCTTTTTTCCCGAAAGGATATCCTAAAAACAAGCAACATCGACTATGACCGGAAAATTTATCAATAGTGCGGGTGTGAGCATAACAAAGACAGCCAAACACACAAAGATGAGAAAGAGAAGGTGGCTTGCCATATAAATTTCACAAGGAGTTTTTCGATTAAGAACACTGGAAGGGGTACGATTAAATAAATACCCAGCTGTTAAGACACATTCACCCCAAAACTCAATAGGCAAGTTTGCCTGGAAACGCAAAGCACGGGCAACATTGAGAATGTGCCGATACTTACGTTCTACCCGACTATTCTGTTGAGGAGTACCAACCCAGGAAGTTTCATGTAAAATGCCATTCTGACAGAAATAATCAAATAAACATAGAAATTCAGAACCATTGTCGCTACAATCAATTTTCACAACTTTACCATATTGACGGTTAACCATGGTAAAAAAGTACATAAAGTGGAAGAAACATCAGATTTATTAACCAAAAGAAATATCCAAGCGGCACGAGGGAAATCATCAACAATAATAAGAAAATAACATGCACCCGAAGAAGCAGGAACCCGATATGGACTCCATAAATCACAATGTATCAAATAAAACACCTCAGTAGCTTTAGAATGACTAATAGGAAACCCTAGATTGTTTGGCTCGAAAACAAACATTACAAGCCTTATTAGAAAACGAACTTTGAGTTTTAGAACAAGCAAAAGAAAGCAACTGTAAAAACCTTCAGCAAAGGATGATCCAAACGCTAGTGGTTGATGTAGCAACAATGGTTTCCACAGCCCGGAAGAAGTAAAGCCCATCTCTTTGCTCACCCGCTCCAATCAGCATCCTCGATATACGGTCTTGTATAACACAATCATCAGAGGTAAAGTGATCAACATAGCTAGAATCTCTCAATAACTAAGAAACTTAAATTAAATGGCATTACAATTTGGGAACATAAAGAACACTGTGCAATGTGATAGTAATGCTCAAAACCACGGTGTCGGCCTTTGTAGTGTAAGTGCACTGATCATTGGGTAAATGAACAAGAACACCATTGATGTCACGAACAACTGAAAGTTAATTCAAATTTCCGGTTATATGATGAGTAGCACCTGAATCATACGTCCAAAATTTAGACCAATACGCACCTGATAATTTTTTGGTTGAACCGGTCTTGGCCGAGCTGAGCAAATGAAGAAGTGTCTGCCATTGGTCCTGGTTTAAACCGGTGGTCGCCCAACTCGGATCATCAACGCCATGACTCGGGGAAAAAAGAATTGAATTGACCACAGCTGGAGAAGAACCAATCGGACCAGGCGACCCAATCTGACCAACCTGACCGCCAGAAGCACCACGGCCACCCCCACGTCCGCGACCGCGTCCATGCCCTTGTCCCGTCCGAGATCTATCCGGCCAAGTCTCTGGATAGCCAATAATCTGATAACACGAATGATCTCATGTCTCAGGTGATTACAGTGAGTGCAAAATAACCCATTCTCTCGGACTGAACCACGGCCAGAATTCTTGGATGTCACAGCCGCCGCAAACAGAGGAGCCGAGTCCTGGCCGGGAGCTGCAAGAACAGAGGAACGGACAGTGCTTTGAACAGAAAAAGCAAGCATATGATTGGAAGCTTCTTTAGACTGAGTAATCTAATGCATCTTCTCTTCTTGCACCATAGTTGAATATACCTTGTTTGATCGGGGCAAAGGATCTAGAGCGAGAATTGTGGAACATGCGGTGGCGTAAATTGAATCATCACGGCCAAGCAAGAATTGATGAAGTTTTTCTTCCTCAAACCTTTTATCGGCTGCGACAGCCAAGTTACATTCGCACTTGCCATAAGTACAACCAGGAGGACAGAGATAAGACCCTAATTCCTCCCAAATCTTCTTCAGCTAGCCATAATACATGGCCATAATCTGTTTACAGGCGGCTAAATCAGCCTTTAGTTGCGAAATCTTTGGGCCATTCACGACGGAGAAGCGCTCCTGAAGGTCCGTCCAAAGATCGGCCGCCACCTCCACGTGAGTAATGGTCGAACAGAGGGTTGATTCGATCGTCTTCATTATCCAAGAAACCAGCAACGAATTAATCGTCCACCAATCTTCATGATCAGGCGAAGAAGCGGCTGGTTCCGGAACCGATCCATCAACGAGTCCGAATTTTTTTCGAGCGTGCGGAGCCGTCTTCACACTACGGAACCATTCATTGTAGCTGTGTTCACCTTTGAGTTGCACCTGAGAAATAGACGACCCCGTATAATCGTTCAAAGTCAGATCATAAGGTGGGATTGTTTTCCTGCGAACCACCTCATCACCGCTGGTTGAAATATCAGTCGTCTGTGAAGGAATAGCAGTCGACTGTGAAGGAGAAGAATGAACGTCTGTTGTATTCGTCATGACAACAGAAGTCAAGCGATTAATACCATGAAAAATTACAGAGATATGAAAATGTAATTCATGTCAAAAACGGTGCAGAAAAGCTTGCCTCCCACGTTCCTGTTGATCGATCATATATAAAGTTAAATTAGGGTTACACAGGAAACCCTAGTTACAATGGTAATTACAGAGATTTACATAAGTAAAAATCCTAGTTACCGTAATACAGAAGATTCCTAGAACTCTCTTAACAAATGTATATTCATTGATCTATACACCTTGGAGAAAGTATTTTAAATTAAATAGATGATATTATTTGAACCATTGAAAGCGTTTGGGGATTTTGTATTTTTTTTTTTTTCAAACTAACTGCTTATAAAAAGGATATCATCTCTTGTCCATGCTAGGTGTCAAAATAATCATTAAATTGCAAAAAAAAAAAAGAAGGAATTCGAGGAATGTAAAAAGTTTTTGTCATGCAATAATCTCAACAACATAGAAATGGAGAAAATTGTCAGCTGATTGGCGCAATGTCCATAACCTTCTCTCCTCTGCACGTACTCGGGAAGAGTAAGTTAACTGTTAACACACAAGTCAATGTCGTTGACTACACACTCGAAGTGTATCTATTTTTCATTTGACTTTGACTTCGAATATGTACTCATTTACTGCTCCCGCCACTATCATTCCCCCTATCCTCCGACGGATTGAACGCGTCCAATATTTCCATGCACTGTTCATGCTTTAATGACGTTACGTAGTCAAAACCTAGTGTTTAACAAGCAGTTTGGAACGTCAGTTTGAACCCTATATAATCCATCTCAACGTAGTGCATGAGTGCATAGTTACTAAAGTGACTTTTTTTGAGAAAGCAAAGAAATGGGTTATTCTCAAAGATGGTTTTGTATGACACTTCTTTTCTTGAGTGCTGCTTTAAATTTGAGTGTGGTGAGCTTTGTTGATGCTATGATTGAGACGGAAAGATGGGGAAATGAAGATTGTCGATTCGGTAGGAGAGGTTGTGGATTCAGAGGGAGAGGACTTTGGGGAGGCCTTGGTGGAGGAGGCGGTTTTGGTGGCGGTGGAGGTGGTGGTGTAGGGGGTGGTTCAGGTCATGGTGGTGGGTTTGGAGCCGGTGTTGGTGGAGTAAGTGGTGGACTTGGTGGAGGTGGTGGTGGAGGTGGAGGTGGCGGTGGAGGTGGTGGTGGAATCGGAGGTGGATGGGGTCATGGCGGTGGATTTGGTGGCGGTGTTGGAGGTGGGGAAGGAGGAGTCGGGGGCGGAGGTGGTGGGGGAAGCGGAGGTGGTGGTGGAGTGGGAGGCGGGTCGCGTCATGGGGGTGGATTTGGAGGTGGTTTTGGGGGTGGAGCTGGAGGAGTCGGTGGAGGGGGTGGAGGTGGTGATGGTGGAGGAGGAGGAGGACTTGGAGGCGGATCTGGTAGTGGAGGTGGATTTGGAGGGGGTATTGGTGGAGGAGTTGGAGGCGGTGTAGCTGGTGGTGGCGGCGGCGGAGGAGGTGGCGGTGGAGGAGGGGGCGGCCTAGGGGCGGTTCAGGACATGGAGGCGGATTTGGCGGTGGAATAGGAGGAGGAGGAGCCGGTGGAGGTGGCGGAGGACTTGGAGGCGGTGCCGGTGGAGGATTCGGGTTGGGTGTCGGTGTTGGCGTTGGAGTTGGCATCGGCGCCGGCAAAGGTGTCGGTCTTGGAACTGGTTCTGGCATTGGTGCCGGAGGTGGGAACTAAACGACAATGAAGTCTTCCGTAGTTGTGGTCATCGAGCTGGATATGAAGCGCCCTTTTTGTTCTTTGTATTTGGAGATTAATGTGTTAAACTTCGACATCGACTGTATTTCTCCTTGTTTACGGTCCCTAAGTGTCAATATGTAAGAGTATCATAGTCTTATGATACCAACTCAAAGAGATTCTATTACTGATAATTATCAATCATTTAATACAATTCACTATAAAATTTATTTTTCCCTATCATCACTGATAAACTTTTTGTGATGATTAATCACTCGATAATATTGAGCTCTTTAAGTTGCACCCAATTAATTCTCTCGAAAAGGGCAAATAATGTTAAATCCTAGGTGTACCTAGGCAGTGCGTCAACCACACATGGGAAAGAGAAATTGGAATAATTGAGTCCGAAAAAAAGGAGTCCACATGCGCATTTATTATGCAAATCATCAGTTTAATTATATGATCAAATGTTATTCCTTTTTTTCCTCCAAATTTTAATTACATGAATTAATTCCTCCAAATTTTATCCTTTTGTTTAGCACATGTTTAATTTTACCCCTTTTTAAAACCGCTGATGTCATCAAGAGCCTCTCCACCAATCAAAATATTGGGAATATAATTGGAACATGTTCATTTATAAGAATAGAGAAGATTGATTTTACTTTGGTAAAATTGAATATGGTTCGTCATCTAAACTTTTGAATATAATTTTATTGATTAATATACATGCGTAAGGTAGTGCGTAATGTATGGTTATTGATGAACAGGGTGTTCATTGTTGTTTTTTGACCGATGGTGTATTATATTATTACGATTTTACGATGAATATCTTATGTTAACTAATGAATAACGAGTTGTTATTGATGAATGACAGAAGTTTTGCTAATTGGACGATGTTTCAACTATGAGGAAGAGACTTTTGTTGCTTATAATTTTTACACAAAGTGCATTGGTTTTTTCAATAAACAAGTTCAAAGATTGGAAAATGTCCAAATCTGGTGTTGTATATTAGAAACAATTTGCATGTAGCAAACAAGGAGTAAAAAATTCAAGAGGTAGGTGCGATGCAACAGTGAATAATTATACCAAACTGATGAATACGACAATTTCAACAATGAATAATTATACCAAACTGATGAATAACTCTCTATATCAATATCTACACTTATTGTGGTTTGATTTTTTGCAGATTCAGATATCCTGCTTCTTTTGGCTTAATGTTGTTCTTCGCTCATGCTTCTTTCAGATTGTGTCTGATATTCATCGCTCATGCTACAATATATTTACAAATTCCATGAATAACTTGTCAGATGTGATGAATTCGGCAATTTTAACAATGAATAATTATACCAAACTGATGAATAATACAAATATCTAGTAATTTACTAAAAAAGAAGCAATACTACATAGTGATGGTAAACGATGAATCTGGTAATTTCAATAATGAATAATTATACCAAACTGATGAATAATGCAAACATCTAATAATTTACCAAAAAAACAATACTACCAAAAAAACAATAATTTATGAATCTGGTTACCTCGCTAAGCTTCCAGTTTCTTTTCTTTGGTGTATGACTAGAAGGCACCAACGAAGTGAACCTGTTTTTGACCCAGAAATTGAAGCTACCATACGTAGAACCAGAGCAGCAAGAAGAAGGCAGAACCGGTTGCAACAGGACAACCAAGAAGGTTCATCAGAAATGGCTAACCAAGGTGGTAACCCGGAGAACAATAGGAACCCTGGTGGGGATCAACAAAATCAACCAGAGAGATTGCTTAGAGATTTCTTCATCCCACAGCAAGAAGAAGTCCAATCCCCTTTAGTGTTCCCTGATGTAGAAGCAACCAATTTTGAGCTCAAGCCACAGATGATCCAATGGACTCAATCAGCCTGCCCATTCTATGGATTACCTCATGAAGATCCTAATGATCACATCCGAAGTTTCCTGCATTTATTCAGTACTTTTAAAATTCAAGGCTTATCTAATGATGACATTAGACTGAGATTATTCCCTTTTAGCTTGCAGGATCACGCCCAAGCATGGTTCAAGACATTACCTAACAACTCTATTTCCACTTGGGAAGAGTTAAGACAGTGTTTCCTGACAAAATTCTTTCCACCCGCAAAAGCTGCACAACTCAGAACAGCAATAATGAACTTCAAGCAGCATGGAATAGAAACACTCTATGAAGCATGGGAAAGACTGAAGGAAATGATCAGGAAATGCCCTCAGCATGGTTTGGAAGAGCATCTTCAACTGAGCATCTTCTACAATGGACTGCTACCAACTACAAGAGACTCCCTTGATGCTGCAGCTGGTGGTGTATTTATGATGAAGCCGGTTGATGCAGCAAGGTACTTGCTCGACAATATGACCACCAACCATTCAAGATGGCAATCTGATCCAAGATGAGTACAAAACAGCCAGGGATGATGGAACTTGATCCCAGTACACACCTGCAAGCACAAATGGCTGTTATGATGAATGAAATGACTAAACTCAGGAGTGAGTTGTCCAAATCCAAGGCTGAAGTGTGTGTATTATGTGATGGATCCCACAGTTTGGATGAGTGTCCCTCCAAAATGGAAGCTGTCCAGTTTGTCAGACAGGGCAATGCTGGGGGATTCAACAACTTCAACAGTTGGAGAAATCAACAGCAGCCTAACTGGAACAATGCACCACAACAAGGAAACTATCAGAGGCCTACTCAACCCCCAGGATTTCACAGACAAGATGGTCAACCTCCCAACTATCAGAATCAACAGCGTTCTAACCAGCAGTACACACCAAGGGAAGATGAATGGATTTCTGTGCAAAATGCAATCAAGAATTTGGCGGTGTCTTGCAAAAGTTTGGAGAATCAGTTGGCCCAGATTGCAAAACAAAATGCTGAAAGACCATCTGGAAGCCTACCCAGGATATGGTTGTAAACCCCAAGGGGAATGACCAAGAGCAAGCAAAGGCTGTCACTCTTAGAAGTGGGAAGCAACTCAATCAGCCAAGTGAAAAAGTCACTCCCGTGAGTGAGCCTGCAGGTAAGAATGAAACATTTTCTGAGAAAATATCTGATAATGATGATGTGGTTGAATAGGAGCAAACAGTTGAAAAACCTGGAATGGAGGAAATTCAATTCCCAGCACCAATTAAGGAACCTCAACAACCAGCTCCAAATCCACCATATCCGGTAAGACAAAAGAAGGCCAAAATGGATGAAGGGCTCAACAGGTTTATTCAAAACTTAGAAAGTATACATATTAATGTACCACTTGTTGATGCACTTAAACAAATGCCTAAATACTTCAAGTACTTGAAGGATTTGGTGGCCAATAAACCACAAGTCCATGACTCTGCTTTTGTCACTCTAAATGAAGAATGTATTGCAGCTATCCTGAGAAAATTGCCACCTAAGTTGAAAGATCCAGGTAGTTTCACTCTGCCTTGTACAGTAGGAATCAGAGAATTTTCAAAAGCATTATTAGATCTTGCGGCAAGCATAAATCTCATGCCATTGTCTGTATTTAAATCACTTGATTTGGACAAATTTTTGGTACCTACTAACATGACCTTGCAGTTGGCGAATAGGTCACTGACCTACCCAAAGGGAATCTTACATGATGTCCTTCTGAAGGTTGATAATTTTGTTTACCCAGCAGACTTTGTGGTTTTGGACATGGAAGAAGACAGGGATGTGCCCATCATCCTGGAGAGACCTTTTCTGACAACAAGTGATGCAATCATTAAGGTGAAGAAGGGAGAAATCACACTGCACTTTGATGGAGAGAATGTTAACTTCAACATCTTCAAAAATATGAGATATCCTGCTGAAATCCATAACTGCTACATGGTAAGAAGTGTAGAAGCAAAAGGAGCAGTGACAGAAGAATTACTGCAAGATGAGCTCCTCAAGGAACTTCTGTGCCCAGACTATAATGAGGAACAAGAAGGAGGGGACGAGTACAGGGCCACTTGCCTGAGTTACCTGAACCACTCACCCAAGTGGCATCCTAAACAACAACCCTTTGAACTGTTAGATCTGACTAAGGAAGGAAGATGCCTCAAACCTACAACTGAAGAACCACCTCATCTCGAACTTAATCCTCTGCCCTCACATTTGAAGTACGCCTATATTGGAGCAAGTAACACCTTACCTGTGATCATTTCTTCTATGCTTACAGGTACTGTAGAGGACAAATTGCTGAGAGTACTGAGATTGCACAAGCAAGCCATTGGGTGGTCAATTGCAGACATTAAGGGCATCAGTCCTTCCATATGTATGCACAAGATCTTGCTTGAAGACGATGCCAAGCCAACCATTGAAGGACAAAGAAGGCTCAACCCAGTCATGAAGGAAGTGGTGAAAAAAGAGATTATCAAGCTGCTGGATGCTGGAATCATCTTCCCAATATCTGACAGCAAGTGGGTGAGTCCAGTGCAATGCGTACCCAAGAAGGGAGGAATCGCGGTGATAAAGAATGACCTCCAGGAGCTAATCCCTACAAGGCTGAACAATTCATGGAGAGTGTGCATGGACTACAGAAAGCTTAATAATGCTACCAGAAAGGACCACTTTCCCCTTCCTTTTATTGATCAAATGTTGGATAGATTGGCTGGATTTATGTATTATTGTTTTCTTGATGGTTTCTCAGGTTACAACCAGATTGCCATAGACCCTGATGATCAAGAGAAGACGACTTTCACCTGCCCTTATGGCACATTTGCCTTCAAGAGAATGCCATTTGGACTATGCAATGCACCGGCAACATTTCAAAGATGTATGATGGCCATTTTCTCTGATATGGTGGAAGATATAATTGAGATCTTTATGGATGACTTCTCGGTTTTTGGTAAGACATTTGATGCATGTCTGGACAACCTTGGACTGATACTGAAGAGATGCATAGAAGCAAACCTAGTCCTCAACTGGGAGAAATGCCATTTTATGGTGACCAAGGGAATTGTCTTGGGGCATAAAATCTCACAGGAAGGAATTGAAGTGGACAAGGCAAAGATTGAAGTCATTGAGAGGCTCAACCCGCCAACCACAGTCAGGGGAGTGAGGAGTTTCTTAGGCCATGCCGGTTTTTACAGGAGGTTCATTAAAGATTTTTCAAAAATTTCTAAACCCTTGTGTAACTTGCTTGAAAAGGACATTGCTTTTATTTTTGATGAATCCTGTTTAATTGCATTCACTGAACTAAAAAGGAAACTCATCAATGCACCTGTGATCATCACACCTGATTGGTCACAACCTTTTGAACTAATGTGTGATGCTAGTGATTTTGCAGTTGGTGTTTTACTTGGACAAAGAAGGAACAAGGTGTTACATATGGTTTACTATGCTAGTAAAACCCTCAACCCTGCACAAATCAACTACACCACTACAGAGGAGGAAATGCTGGCAATTGCATTTGCATTTGACAAATTCAGAGCTTATTTGCTAGGGATGAAAGTCATAGTCTATACCGACCATGCTGCCATCAGGTACTTGATCAACAAAAAAGAGTCTAAGCCTAGGTTGATTAGATGGGTGTTGTTGTTGCAGGAATTCGATTTGGAGATAAGAGACAGAAAGGGTGCTAAGAATCAGGTAGCAGACCATCTGTCAAGACTTGAAGAAATTCCAGAAGACACAACTCCAATTTCAGAAAAATTCCCTGATGAGTCACTCTGGCGAGTGACAGGCACACTCATGGGAGTGACAGGTAACAGGCTTTGGTTTGCAGATTTTGCTAACTTTGTTGCTGCTGTGTTATTCCCCCAGATCTCACCCCTCAACAACGCAAGAGATTCTTGCATGATGCTCAACTCTACCTATGGGATGAACCCTACTTATTCAAAAGATAAACAGACCAATTGATCAGAAGGTGTATTCCAGAATCTGAATTCACAGAGGTGTTGCATAAATGCCACAATTCTCCCTATAGTGGACATTTCAACGGTCAAAGAACGGCAATCAAGGTTCTGCAAGATGGACTGTATTGGCCAACTTTGTTCAGAGATGCAAGAGAATTTATCAAAGGCTGTGACCGGTGCCAAAGGACAGGAAACATTTCCTGGAAAAATGAGATGCCACAGCAGAACATGCTTGAAGTGGAGCTGTTTGATGTATGGGGGATAGATTTCATGGGTCCCTTCGTGTCATCCTTTGGGAACTCCTACATCCTATTCGCAGTGGATTACGTTGCAAGATGGATAGAAGTCGTAGCTGCAAGAAATAATGATGCTAAGACTGTTCTCAGGTTTCTAAGAAAAAACATGTTTGCCAGATTTGGTACACCCAGGATGATACTCAGTGACGAAAGATCACACTTCTGTAACAAGTCATTTGCAGCCATGGTAAAGAAATATGGAATCAGGCACAGAGTATCAACACCATACCATCCACAATCAAACGGGCTAGCAGAAGTGTCAAACAGGGAAGTGAAAAGAATCCTGGAAAAGGTTGTCAACTCTACTAGAAAGAATTGGTCCTCAAAGTTGGATGAAGCTTTATGGGCATACAAAACAGCATACAAGACTCCCATTGGTATGTCCCCGTTCAAATTGGTCTATGGGAAAGCATGCCACTTGCCAGTGGAGTTGGAACACAAAGCTTACTGGGCTATCAAGGAACTGAATCTTGATCCAGGCAAGGGCAAGGAAATGAGATTGATACAGTTGAATGAGCTGGAAGAATTCAGACGAGAGGCATATGAATCTTCCAGGCTTTATAAGGAAAAAGCTAAGGCCTACCATGATCAACACATTGTCAAGAAGGATCTGCAAGAAGGACAAGAAGTCCTGCTGTTCAACTCTAGACTGAAACTCTTTCCAGGGAAGTTGAAGTCAAGATGGACCGGTCCCTACAGAATCAACAAGGTCCTAACTCAAGGAGCAGTAGAGATCATGAATCCACAGAATGGCAACACCTTTTTGGTTAATGGTCAGAGGCTTAAACCATACCTTGGATGGACAGAAGGGAGTAAAGGACAGAACTATCATGTTCTGGTCCTAAAGGAACTTAACTGAGAACTCTTTTGAAGTCTGGCATGAGACTTAAGACCAATGCGCTATATGGGAGGCAACCCATACGTTTTGCTTTTATGTGGCTAACAATGTGCTATTTTAATTTTGCAGGAATGGACAAGGTATTTGCCACCCCCAACAGATTTCAGAAAGTGTAACATAAAAGGCCTCAGGTAAACTCACTCCTAGGAGTGAAGAAGGTCACTCAACCGAGTGAACCTACGGGAAAGTAATGCTGTAAGTCTTCTAACCCTGATGTCACTCACGCAAGTGGGACAATCCACTCGCCTGAGTAAGAATAACTGTACAACACTTTCTGCAAAAACTCACCTTTTTGAGCTATAATTATGTCTTGAGTTTGGGGGGAAAATTTTTCCGGAAATTTTCAAAATTCAATTTTAACCGCATCCGTTTTTTTTGAGTCACTCGAGTCAGCCACGACTCCCCAAAAACTTTAACTGTTGTGCATTAATTCACAACTCCACTGCTTCGTCTTCTTCATTTTCTCCCTATTTCCAGAACCACCTATTCAATTACCACTTCCCTATGTGCACGTACTGACAATTTCTCTGAGTTTTCCGGCAACTAAGGCAAAAATTCAGATTCAATAAAAAAAAATCCCTCTTTCAATTTGCCAATTCAATCCCTAGGGTTTGTACAAGATGCCGCCGGCAAGAAGAAAGGTTGCTACCTGCAAAAACGCCTCCAACACAAGAAGAAGGATATCATCCTCCTCATCCTCTCCTGAACGGCAAAGAATGCCCACTCCACCACCATCCCCTACCAGAGAACCTACTCCACCGCCGCCTCCACAACCATCAAGGGCTTTGCAAGAACAAGCCCTCAATGCCATCACCGATGAGTGGGAGCCGAGGTTGTTTCCAAGAAAGAAGGGCTGGCATTTCTTTTTGAAGCACATACGCCGGAAATTTATTACCGAAAGAGGAATCGGTGAAGACGGCGCAACTTTCACCTATATCAAGCGCCATGGATGGGAGACCTTCTCCAACCCACCTGTCAAGCCTAGGATCCAGATTGTGCAAGAAATCTATGGCAACTTCCACACCGCCCCCAGAGACGGAGTATTTGTCAGAGGCATCAGCGTCAATTGCAGCACAGAAGCTATCAGGGCCATCTGGAAGTTACCAAGAATCAGCACTAATTACAGGGAAACCCTTGCTGCCTTACATCCAAATCAACCACTGGAACACACCGTTCTATCTAGGTTGGCAAAAGAAGGCACAAGCTGGGAGATGGATGATAAAGAAAACCCTCTAGGATTTCCAGCAAACGCGTTACAGACGCCTGATTTAAATTTGTGGCACCATTTCATCTGTTGCAATCTGATGCCAACATCCTACACCGCTAAGGTCACCTATGAGATGGCTCTGCTGCTGTATGCCATCGTCACGGACACACCATTTGATGCAGCCTCAGTCATCCGAGATCAGCTCACCCGATGCATCACTGATCCAAAGGTGAAGAGCTGGTATTTCCTGTTATGATCACCATGCTTTGCAAGAGGGCAGGGGTGACCTTCCTACACACAGACGCAGAGAGCAACTTGCAGCAACCATTGAGGATGCATAAGCTGGACCAAAAACCCTCAGGTGCCTCATCCTCAGGACAAGCAACATCCACTCCCACTCCAGCTAGACAATTGAGGCAGAGGGATTTCAACAAGCAGACCAGGTTCATCCTGGATTATGTCCACCAATGCCAGATGAGGACAGAGAAATTCCTACAGGAAATGCACAAGTGCATTGGATGCCCTGAAAACTGCCCAATGCCGCATGATCCACCAGTCCACCCACTCCATGGCATGCCTCAATGAACACTCAGGGAAGTGTTGTTCTACTTCCCTTAATCAGCAATTTTTTTTTTTTCTGTTAAAATGATGAATTTCTCGTTAGTTCTGTATTTTTCTTTGTTTTCTGTTTAATGTGTGTTGCCGGGTTTGTTTTGTTAAGCATTGAGGGCAATGCTCAGAATAAGTTTGCGGGAGTAATGTAGTAGTTAGTTTGTGGTTAGGTCAGTCAGTTTGTGGTTAGGTCAATGTCAAGACAGTTGTCATTTAGGTCCATTAAGTTCATGTCTAGATAGACTCTGTAAAATATCTCCCAAAAATGAAAATTTTCTAAGGAGCTGTCAACAGTCTAGGATGATAATGGTTTTGAAAAATAATTTTGCTAAACCACTTTTGATACTGACTCTGATGCATGAAGGAAAGAATGGCTGACACTCAGTCACACACATGAACAATGCCACTCGTGGAAGTGACTGCTTGGAACATAAAGTTTAAAAATTTGGCATGACTAATCCACTGTTGTGAGCTGTGTCTAGTTCTGAGCTACAATTAGATGAGAGATGCAGTAAATCTGAGACTTCCTTTGGGGTATCCATTCACAGTCTGCTTGTCTACAAAAAATAAAAAATAAAAAAAAATTGTTGTTTCTAGGGAATGGATCAACTGAAACCTTAGGGGTAACAGCAAGGAACCACCACAAGAAGTTCCAAACTGTTGGAGTAATAAGAGTTGAGGTATAAGGCAGTGGAGAGATAAGGTTGAATAACACCCCTGTTAGGTTGGTCCATCCACATTCCCACTGAAAAAAAAAAAAAAAAGAAGAGAAAGCAAAAAGGCTATGCAGGAAATCCCCGATTAAAGCCTCAGTAGGTAAATCGAGTCAAGTAACTTGGGCAAGACCAGATCACAAGAATGACCACCAAAGGCTTAACCGGTTAACTTAGAATGGATTGGTAGGTTTGGCATGAACTAACACTTGTGGCATATACATTCTAATTCCCTGTGAAGGTTGGTTGTTTGACTCTGGATTGCAGAAAGATTTGGTATCCTTAAATGTATGTTTTCTTCACTTGAATCTGAGACAAAAGGTTGACAGCACCTATCTAGTTGTGTTTAAGGTTGTTGCTTTGTTTAGTGTCACCTGCCTGAGTGGGAATCCTAACTCAGGGGAGTAAGCCAGTCTTCAGTCATTTTGACAATATTGTTTTCCCTTGTTTGTTATTTGCAATTCTGAAAGTGCCAACAAGAGTTTAGTTGTTTTGCTTGAGGAAAAGCAATTCTTCCAGTTTGGGGGAGTTGATAATGGTTTGTTTGTTACATAAAAGCATCACAATTAACTCCGAATTAGCAAGAAATTGGGGGGTATTTCCTATTATTAGTGCACTTTACTTAACCAGTTTTTGTGTTTTTGTTAGGTTGGAGTTTGATTGCAAAATTGCTGAAAGATTAAGGTCAAGGGAACAATTTGTGGGCTGCTGAGGCAAATGTTGCTGAGCTGGACGAAGAAGCACCTCCTTAGACAAGAAGCATCTTGTCATTAATGAGCATGTCCCCTCAAAGAAGCATGCTTGTCCCCCAGCCGAAATTTCAGCCTCCCCTGTTGATCAATGAGAGCAATGCTGCCACTTCTGGAAGAAGAGAAGAAGAACAGCCAAGTTTGGATTCCAGGCTCAAGGCATTAGGAGGATTAAACAATTACAAGCATGGGGAGGCTCTCATGATGAAAAGAATCGGCTGCAAGGCCCTATAAAAGAGGGAACTGCACTCTCAGAAGACATCGATATCTCTATCTCAATCTCTGGTTACCCTTCAGTTGCCAAAAACACACAGAAAATGTATGAGAGTTAACCGGTTAACCGGTAGAAGGCAAGAAGGAAGAAGAAGCAGCAACAACTCAGTAAGGAAGCCAAGTTGAAGAGTAGCCAACCCAGTTTCTGCTTCAGTTCCATGAGTGAACCCTTTCACTCCCAGGAGTGGCTCAGAAACTGCACAAGCTTTTTTCTCGTCTCTTGACTGTTAGCTTGAACTTTGTTTATTATGCATACTTCTATGATGTCTGTTGATGTAGTAGATGTAGCATTAATCTGTTTGAGTAGCTAAACAGTTTCCAGGGGTTATTCTCCTCAACTTATGTCGTAGTTGCAATGCACTGGTTTTCTTTCTTGTTTTAAGGTTGAAAGTTTTCCTACATTCATTTACTTGATCACTAAATTGAATGCATGCTAGAACTAAGGGAGATCTGGAAAGATAAACTTGGTTTGGATTGTTTCAACTTTAACTTATGACATAGAGGTAACAGTCTATGGTTTTAACTAAGATAGGAATATACTTAGTTAACATAAGCATTCTTGAAGGCCTAAGAACTTAATGACTTTGGATCTGGAATCAATCATTGGAAAATAGATTGTTAAGGTTGCAAGGATGACTCTAGGAAAAATGGGAACTGACTTAGAGTTATAAGTGAGCTGAATGAACAAGAGCTCAACCATTACAGTGATAATAACAACTACAACAATAAGAAGAGGAGAAGAACACCCCTGGCCTCCATTCCCCTGAGTGACTATTTCCATTCCCCTGAGTGACACCTTGTCTGATTGGTAGTCTTTCTTTACAACAAATTTGGTAATTAGTTGTCCTCGTGGGATCGACCTAGCTTCCATTATCTACAAAAATCATAATCCAAGCTAGTAATATTTTTGGTGAACTCGGCACGCACCATATTCTCTAGCTTGAAATTAGTACGTAGATACTTTGCACGTGGAATTGAAGACATATGAGGAAGTTAGCAAGTACTGTAACTTAAGAGGTAAGATCATCGAGCACTCCATTATATGTATGAGAGTTAAATCATTTGTTAATAGTCTGATGATAAAAAATGTTGCAGTTAATATTATCTCGGAGTCTTCGAGTGAACTCAAACAACGGAAAGGTGCGGGGTTTTACTGTGAATCTTTCTAAAATGGGTTTTAAAATTCTTTACTCTTGTATATATATTTTTTCTTTTGTGGAATGATGTTTGTGTCTACTGTATCTTTTTATTCTCAATTGCCTACAAGCCGTGGATTACCGTTATTATTGTCCTTGTGATTTTGATTTTCATTGTTTGTTGTTGACGAAGGTTTACTTTCATCTTTCTATTCGTGATTAGATGATAATTTTTTTTTGGTGAAACTTAGATTTGTTGATGATGATGATCAAAGGTGATTTTTATATTCGATCATGCCAAAAGAAACAAAAACATCAATCCTAATTTGATAAATAATACGACCGGAACATTCATAGTATGTTAATTTGTAGGCCATCAAAAGACAATGGCTCTCCTTAGAATATGTGCCACAAAATGATTCCAAAGTCGGAGAAGGTGATACTAAAATTACCATATCCTTGGGGTTTTTCCTTTTCATTCTTGATATGATTTTTTTTTAGAGGTTCTGTTTCTTGGACTGCTACTTGTTAATGGCGTTTTCTGCTTTTTTTTTGTTATTCATGTTTCTATGATCTTACTATTCTAAATGTTGTAATCTTGTTTCTTGAAAAATCTTACAATGAATTTGCTGATGAATATTAACTTTTCTTGCGAGCTGATATCTTTTTTCCTCCCATTACCAATTTTTAGCCTTTTTAAAACTATATGGTGATTGGACTTTACTTCGTGAACTCAGCTGCTTGGTTAATTGTCAATTTACTTCTACGCTGTCGCCTCCCATTACCATTTTTTTTTTTTTGCTAAGCAATACTCCCCTATGCCCATGGTGTAAAGCACCAATTCTGAACTTGTAAAATTTTATGGGAGTGTGATTTATTTGTTTATTATAAAATTTTATTCGGATTAAAATAAGTCAGTTTAATTTCGGTTGTTTATGGTGGAAAAGAATTTTTATTTTATTTTTTTTGTAGGTTTTATCAACCACATTAACTGTGTTGACAATTAAAATTTATCCCAATGTCTTCCCCAACAAACGATGATGGCCAAAGTTGTGAGAAGGATGCATTTGTGGTGTAGTCAGAAGATGATCCGATCAATGTTTCTTCGAGTATGGATATGGAGGTTGATAATGAGAAGGGTGAACTACCCCAAAATGGAGATGACATAAGTACATCACCAATGGCATCTAACCAGTGGCAGGATGATTTGAAAGAACAAGAGTTGATGAAGATGACTTTTGACACTATAGATGACGCTGAAGCATTTTACAGAACATATGCAAAATGTTTGGGATTTGGTATTAGGATACAAGATGGGAAAAACAAAGATGATGGCCATATTATTTTCAAACTTTGGGTTTGTAATAAAGAAGGACAAAGGAGAGAGCGGACAAGCCAGGAAGAGGATATACATGGGGTTTGTGATATAGATGGCGAAAGTGAAGAGAACCCAAACAACACACCAAAGAAAAGAAGGCCAAAGCTATACACCAAAGTTAGATGCAAAGCTAGATTTCGAGTGAGATACATGAATGATGTGGAAAAATACATTGTCACACACTTTGTAAAGGAGCATAACCATGAGATGCTTAGTGAAGAGTGTGTTCCTTTTCTTCGATCACATAGATCTGTTCAAGATATGGACATAGCTCAGACCTCTTCAATGCGAGCAATAGGTTGGCGATCAAGTGATATAATGAAATACTCTACTCTTGAAGTCGGGGGATACCATAAGGTAGGATACACTCTTAAAGATTTGGATAATGTCATGGC